ATGTGTCTCAAAAAAAAAAAAAAAGAGTGGGTGAGATTGATAGAGGAAAGGGTGCAGGTGAATCATTCATTATAAGGTTCATTCTGCACTCTATGCCATTTTCTGCATTAATTTTTCAACCTTTTAGGAGATAATGATTATCTTGCACTCAAAATAAACTGCACTTTAAAATAAAGGAGCACAGAAAGAAAACCCTTTAGGGGAAAATAAAAAAGTTCAAATCACAAAGAAATAAGGGGTGCTCACAAGACTAAAGCAGAGGTCTACAAGCAAACAAGAGTATGTGGGCCATGGCCTCGCACGGTGGTTCACACCAGTAATCCTAGCACTCTGACAGGCTGAGATGGGTGGATCTCTTGAACTCGAATTTGAGATCAGCCTGAAAAAGAGTGAGACCCCCCATCTCTGAAAATAGCTGGGCATTGTGGTAGACACCTGTAGTCCCAGCTACTTGGGAGGCTGAGGCAAGAGAATCACTTGAACCCAAGCGTTTAAGGTTGCTGTGAGCTATGATGTCATGGCATTCTACCAAAGATGACAAAGTGAGCCTCTGTTTCAAAAAAAAAAAAAAAAAGAAGAAGAAGAAGAAGAGTACACAGACCAACTCTGACCTGTTTCTATAAATAAAGTTTTATTACAACAAAGATACTCCCATTCATTTGTGGATTATCCATAATTGCTTTCATGCTACAAGGACAAAGTTAAGTAGTTTTTTTTTCCCCCTTTAGTAGGCCCAGGCCAGGTTCGAACCCACCAACCCCAGTGCATGGGGCCAACGCCCTAACCACTGGGCTATGGGCACCCAGCCCAAAGTTAAGCAATTTTGCAACAGAGATATTTTGGCCTTCAAAGTTAGACTATTTACTCTTTGGCCCATGACAGGAAAAGTTTACTGGTGCCTCGACTTAAGAATAGTAAAAGATGCTACCTCTTCTCCCTACCTCCATGGCACACATACACAAAGCAAATCCTTCATCCATACTTGACTTGCAACACAAACTTTCTCCATTGGATACTCTCTCAATACAAACTGTTGTATTGGTGACACTGGGGGATATCTTCTTGCCTGAAATTGTACTATTAAAACTACAGTATATTATTTGGCGTGTATGACAGTGAGAAATCGTTCTGGAAAAAAAGACGGAGGTTTTCCAAAACTTTTACAGCTCCAGAGCTGTGAAAAATTAGTTAAGTGAAAAGTCATCATGCAAGATGCATCTGTTAATAGTCTGATCTATACCCACCTAATTGTTTCAATTAAGAACATCCCAGAATATTTGGGGGCCTTAACTCCAATCAATGAATCAACAGAACTTTCTGGAGCAGTTCTTAGGTGCCTTGCCCTGTGCAAAGCCTCATGAGGGAAGACCCAGAAGCGATGCTGGAGATTCTGGACCAGCTAACTGGGCTCAGGCATGAGAATACTGTATGTGAAACCCTTGGCTACTTGGCCACAGAACCCTAAAACATGCAGGCCTGGCTGTAAGGGCAGTAAGCAGCCAGAGAAGCAGAAATCCCTGAGTGGTGGATTTGTTGGGAAGACGTCCAGAAGAAGCATTTGTATGAATGGGCAGCTTGCAAAAAGAAAGGAAGGCTTCCAGATGGGCCAAACCCCACCCCGAGGGGGGACTTGCCCGGGCATTTATGGCTGGCTCTACAGCACTCATAGGTATAATTATTTATCCTGAGGTAACCAAATCTCCAACTTCAGCCCAAGCTGCTAACTGGCTGGGATGACAGCTGAAGCTGAGTCTTTATGCTAGACGTGAGTGCATCTGGTCATTATTGGGATGTGCAGGGTCCTCTGTTTCAAGCAGTAAAATCCCATGTGGGCCATAATTTCAGTGAGAAAGAAGGAAATGATTCAAATCCTGAAAAATGTTTTCATCCATCCACTAGAAGGAGGGCGGAGGGAGGAGGAAAGGAAGGAGAGGGAGAGAAAGTTCGGATCTGGGGGCCGTGGTGGGCTCTGTTATTTATTGGCAAGTCCTTCCTACTGGGGGGGGGGTTCAAATCCCAGGCCTCCCACTAATGAGAAACATTACTTACATTATATCTGATCTTTCTAAACATCTTCCTTAGGTAGGTGTTCTTATCTCCTTTTACAGATAAGGAAACTTGAAGTTGGGAGCTATTAAGTGATTTGCCAAAGGTCACACGGCCAGTATTTGTCTTAAGGTCAGAATGGTTTCAAATTCCAACATCTTGTCTCTCTACCTTGTGACTTGATAAGTTTGCTTATCGGGTAATTAGTGAAGGTAGGTGTCGCATGTCAAAATGACACTTGAGCAGAGGAAAAGCGATAAACCATGCTTCCTTTAACTCTCTTCTTTAAAC